GGCTGAATGCGCCGTGCCGCTTCTCCAGACGAGGAAAGAACTGAGCGCGGGATGCGCGGCGCGCAAAAAAGTGCGCTGGTAAATCAGCGAGGGAGGAAACGAAGCGGAGAAACGACACACGTCGCTCTATCTTTAGAGTTCGCATTTCGTCGAGCACTCGTCGAGAGACGCCGAAGTGTCTGCCGGCGAGCCTTATCTGAACTCGTCCGAAAGTTTTGGAATTCCTTATTGTGCTCACGGATGGCAAAATTCGCGCGAAAACATCGAGGAATATCGTCGGGCTTTTCGCTTTACACTTTTGTAAACAACGGCAGAACGGCTACACGCCGCTCGTATTTGATTCAACATACTTGGCATAATATTGACATAATATTAGCATAATATTAACATCATACAAGTAGGTCACGGGATATATAATTAGAGATATAAACTTTTCGAGTCTAGAATCATAGAAAAATAAATAATAACTACACAGATAATAAGTTTCTCTCTTAAAAACGAGATTTTTTATAGAAGGTATTTAAATGCCGTAAAAATAATAATAATATACATTGCGATATCTTTGAATTTTTATCTGAGTGTTGTATAAAGGAAGGAAAAGACTAATAAAATATTACGAAATTATTTAATTTCGTGAAGAGAGGGAATTTTCTGTAGGAAACGAGTTTCCATCGCACTGAAAATATTACAAAAAATCGGAATCAAATATGGCGGCTCTTGCTCTCGGACGGTTTCTCCATCGGACACCGGCAAATATATTCCGCGCGAGAAAATATTTTTCGAAAATAACGTTCGGGTTTCTTTCATTAAACTCGCGGTCATACATTGCCCGTGTTTCTTCACTGCTACTTCACTGCAGTCTGGAGGATCGGTGTAATTTCGGTGGATAGGAACTCGCATGCTCGGTAGCGAGTAAACCATCTCCCTGTGTTGCTGCAAAAACCCCCACGTGTTTGCAGACAGCAAACACAACGTGCATCGGCGTAGTAGCATGAATTTTAGAGACGGTAAAGTCAAAAACAGCGGTTTCTTCGTCAAATAACACAATGCGAACCACCGAGATGTGTCGTGTTGTTCGTGATATTTCTTCTCTCGCGCCCTCCACTTTTTGAAATCCGCACTTGCGACAGCCTAATTGGATAAATTAATCGAGTACTCGAATTTTCCACACGAAGATTACAACTTGGCCGTCCTGGACAAGTTTGCATCCAAGTTTGTCGTCATCTCTCGCTCTTCGATGCCGGCGCCTGACTTTGCTGTTTTGCCCATTGTTTCCAAAGTGCTCTCACGCGTCCGTACTCCTCCGTGACTACGAGTGTTACATTAAGACTCGAGCCGACGAGCAAAAAGAAACTCCACTAGCTAATAAGTCTCAGTTAACTTGCTTCTGATTTACGGTCTTTGTATAGATCAGCAGTAGGTGTGTTAGTCCAACATATATAGGGCCATAGGGTGACCTCCGAAATAATTGGGCGACAGATACTTCCCTTCTTGAAAATCCGATCAATACTACCTTGTAACGATTTTCATATATTATATTGTAATTCTGTTTTTTTTATTCCGGCACTTCACCCTTTTCTTAAATGAAAATCGCCGATTATTCCATTACTCGTTCAGTCTCATTAAGCGAGCGAACGCCGGATTTTCGCCGGATAATCTCGGAAATTATGAGCGGCGTCACCTGATGATGAATGGCTAGCACGTGAGCGGACGTGAGCATTTTAGTCCGCTCTCGAAACAGGAACCGTTACATTCGACACCGCGATCCTTCACGATAATCCAATTAGTAGTAAAATCCATTTCATACCGACGGTTTGGAATATCACACCGAAAAATTGATCGAAACGCCGGTGTGCGTCGCATGACGCGCCTCGTGTTAGCCTATTAATTAACGCGGACGCGATTGCATCGGTTATCAATTTTAGAATGCACGCCGCTGCGTGTGCGGAGCACACCCCCAAATCGACGGAGACGGGGGTGCGAACAAAGGGCGCGCGCGCGCGCTTTGTGAATTTTATACGCAATTTTCGCTCGAGTGAACAGGTCGCGGGTCTGTGCTCTTCATATTTCAATATTTGTAGCTGAGTCTTAATTGAAATGCCGTTATCCTTTTCAGGAGTTTCAGGATCGACACGTTTAGATACACGCCCGTCATTTCTTTATTTAATTCGAATATCGTCGATAAAATGCAGCAAATTGTTACACACGGAAAGAAATCTCAATTCGTGTAACAGAATGAGGACTGAAGCGAAAAGTCGGTAATAACGATAACTCTGTTATCACGATCGAAGGCATTCGGCTGCATTAAAACTCGATTGAGATAATTGAAAACAATTGATTGGCTGAAGACCTTCTGCGGGAAGATTTCCTTCTTTTGCTCAAACAACGGAAAATCCACTGCACGTGCCGAGTTTTTTCTTTTTTTCATGTGTGAATAAACTTGACGACGCCGTCGCAAAGTTTCACGGCAAGCGAAAGAGAAATCTCGTCGTACTGTTGACAGATGTTACGCAGATGTGTTACTTTAACATCAAATCAGTCTCTCTTTTTCGACTCTCGCAAATTCGTCCGATTCCTCGAGAGATTAAAACGGGGCTCGCTTGAATTTAAACGAGTAACGTTCCGTCTATTTTCCCTTGGTTTTCGAAAGAAACCGAGCAGCGCGCAGGTTCTTTGATGGCCGCATTTCTTATCGTAATCCATAGCCCATCACCTCGGGTCTTCCGCATTGCGCATCGATACGCTGCATCGCGAAGTGCCCCGCGAAGTATCGTAAATGCTGCTTATACATTCACCGCAGCCTTCGGAATATGAGAATCCTTACTTTATTCGCTCGCTGTCGCGCCGATATAATACGTGCAACAGGACTCAGAACGGGACGGGGGTTTCCACTGACGACGGATGTATCGGGTACAAAAGAAAATTTGTCATTTTCCCATGAAGCCTCGTAGAGAGGAAATTAGGCTATTAAAAGATTCCGGCTTCGACCGAAGTACAACGAAAGCGACCTCTCGCAGCGACCTGTAATTGGAGGGATTATAAAGTTTTCACTTTTTATGACTCCCATTTAGTCACGGATAACTGGGAGCAGTGCCATCAATTGAGACATGATTACCCACGACAGGGCATCTATTTTGACACCGGTGACAACTTGCTTCAGAGTGTCACCTGCGATTGACACGTCAACGCGCGCGTCGACGAGCGCGCGTCGTAATTACACGAGCCGCGGCTTGATCGCTGCTGTTATCGTCATTACTCTCCACGTGGACTCCATTATAAACCGAGACACGTATAAGCCATCTTTTCCCCGCGGCCATGACTCGCTGAGAAATATTTACGGATCCCATGATTTACGATTATGCCTCAAGTTATACCTGCGTATTTCCCATGACGTGCATCGCGCAGCCATGAACCAGAGTACTCGAGGATACTCCTCGACTACTCCCGGCTGCTTTCGCCACTTCCTCGTCCGCGATCCTCCGAGACTCCCCGAGCGACGACAGCCGCACCTCGTGACGCCTGCCACTGGCTTTAATTCATCGGCCGGCGGTGATGAGCGCTTAGCTAGCGCGTTCTGCCCGCGATGCGACATCGTCATCCTTATTCGATCATACGACGACGAGGAGGCGGGTATCATGCCGTCACGACGACGTCGTCAAAGCCGACACTGTTTCGTCGAGAAACGCCAGCGGCTGGCTGCGCCGCCAGAAAGCGCCGTCGGTATTTGGCAAACGTATGACGACACCGCCGACGCTACCTCCGGTTAGTCTGCTGGCCCAGGTATCCTAGACCGCAGTCTATACCTTCTCTTCTTCCTCGGTCTGGTCCGTCGTCGTCTCTGCAGCGTCCGTCCGTCCATCCTCATCTTGCTCTCTCTCTCTCTCTCTCTCTCTTTCTCTTTCTCTTTCTCTCTCCTTCTTTCTCTGTCTGTCTGTCTGTCTCTGTCTCTCTCTCTCTCTCTCTCTCTCTCTCTCTCTCTCTCTCTCTCTCTCTCTCTCTCTCTCTGTCTCTCTCTCTCTCTTTCTTTCGCTCGCTCCCTCGCTCATTCGCGTTTCCGCACGAGGGAAGGAAGAGGTAAGACGGGGCCAAGACGCTTTTAGACACGGAGCGTCCACGAGCGTCGCGACGCCCTGAGGAGCAGCAGTCGCGTACTTTAGGCAGCTTCCACCTTGCCGGCTCGCGGGCAAGCGTAACGCGTGCGATTTCGTGCGACGTCGTCCGGCCGTCGAGACGTCCGCGTCGTCATCGTCGTCGTTGTTGTCGTCGTCGTAGTGCCGTATCGGTTTACTCGCGCCGTAGTGAGCCCCCGTTACCTGGAGAACACCGTAAGATAGTGCTTCTCCATCCGAGCGACTTACCTGATTCTCACTCGAGGACGACCCAAGTGCTGTCGGGTCCACCGAGCCGGCCATTATTGACCCTGAAACCTCATCACCTGGAGGATACGTCGTGTAACTGGAGCGAGCGGTAGTCTGGTGCTCGAAACTCCGCGGCTTCTTTTCGAAGCCGCTGACACCTCACTTGGCATTCGGGGGGACCAACGGAATCATCATCGTCCGAGAAAGAATCGCGTGATCTTTCCTCCTTCTCCCCCTCTCTCTCTCTCTCTCTCTCTTTCTCTCTCTCTCTCTTTCTCTCTCTCGAAATCGTCTGCTTCTGCAAGCAGCGTCACAAAGTGCACCGAGCATCGAAGTGCAGTGGTGCATCATCCTACACGAGACGTTCCGTTTCGCCCGATGTGTCCTCCCGATCGAACGATGACGGATCGTCGCGAGTGACAAGAGGGAGATATATATATATATATACACATATACGTACAAATATATGTACAAGCATACATACACATTTGACACACATACGCACACCACCTGGTATGGTACAGCGAGTCCGCGACGGGAAGCTGGAGGACGACTGACGCGAGTCGTCGGTTGTCGTGCACAAGCAGGAGGTAGAATCCCGCGAAGGTGGTTCGCGTGGCGAGGAAGGAGAAGGACGCGACGATGGCGGAGCGTCCCGGCGGCAGGAGACGCTCGCGTCGCGACAGCATGGACACCGGAAGCTCGATACGCGGCACTCCGGCGACCTCGAAGGAACGCAGGACCAAACGCTCCAGCAAACCGTCCAAGGAGCGATGGCTGCTGACGAGGAAGACGTGGCGGTACATGGCGGACGCCGGCAGACGCCTCATCCCGGACGGCACGCACAATCGCTCGGAGGATATCCCGAAGATCGAGCAATACTTCCAGGAGGTGTGCCAGAAGGAGCCGCGCTTCCTGCTCTGGAGGAAAGCCTCGTATCCCGGCACCTTGGGCTTCCGGGCTCCGAGACGTCGGCGGCAGATTAAAGGCGGCAGCTGCCGGACCCAGGCCAGCTCGGCCGATGAAGCCGACGACGTCAGGAGCTCGCCTCAGAACTTCGTCCTTCGCGCGACCACGTCTGGCAAGTTTGATCTAGCCAAGGCGAAGAGAGAATGGCTGCTGACGTCAGGCAGCGGCGGCGGCGGCGGCGGCGGCGGCGGCGACGGCGGCGGCGGCGGCAGCACGCCGTCGAGCCCGGTGATGCGTCGCAAGACGTCTCAGGAGGACACCGAGGCTAAAGAATTGGCAGACATGCTACAAAAGTACCTGAACATGCAGGCTGACACGGCTCACCCGGCGGCGAGGACGAGCGCCAAGTCGTCGGAGGCAGCCGCCGAGCAGACGGAAGGGAAGGAACCCTTCGATTATCGCAGCCTGATAGATAAGCTTCAGCAGCACCTGGACCTGATCGTAGCGCAGACTAGGCGCGAAGAGCCGGCTTCTTCTCGCCAGAGCTCCTCCGCCGTGAAGAACGTCGCTCCGACGTCGTCGTCTGTGTCGTCTTATCAGGGCGATTACGTGCACAAGTCGCTGATGGAGACGTTGGGTCGTTATTACAGCAAGTCCTCCTCTCGGGAACACGTGATCTCCGACATCCTGACCGACCGGAAGCTCTTGGAGAAGCTCTACTTCGACCTGAGATGCACCAGAGGCTTCAGAGGGCCTCGAGCGACTGGTGCGTACACCACGCCGTCTACTCGATGGTGGGGTCATCAGAGAGGCAAGCCGCAGAGAGGCAAAGAGTCCGACAGTTGGTCAGCCGGCAAGAGAGAGCCGATCTCGCCGCCGCCTCTGATCGCCGTCCAAGAACCCAGCACCGACCGAGGTTTCTTCGACGATGGCGTGCAAACCGAGCCGGTGCCGCGAGCCGTTCTCGACGCGATTCTCCTCGAGAGGGAAAAGGAGGACACGTCGAAGGAGTCGAAGGACTCGCAAAAGCCCAGCGGACGAAGGCGCAGCAGCGTCGACAACGACGACGTGTCGCCGTCCGTCAGCGACACCATCAAGAGGTACTTGAGAATGGCGCGGAAGAAGTCGATGGACGCGGACAAGGTCGACCGGTTCAAGCGGGTCAACTACGACCGGAACCTGCGCAATATCAAGGCCAAGGGCGAGATCACCAAGCCCGGCGACGACGACGGCAACAGCAAGGGTTGCCAGACGGAGGAGAACTGGGCTGTGAATTATCGGGAGATGTCCTCCTCCGCGGACGCGCCGCCGTCCGAGAACCTGTCGGACGCCGACACGACCACGTCAGCCGCGAGCCGAAACGCCAGCTCCCGGAGCAGCATCGACGCCGGCCTCGGCTCCGAGGAGCCGTCCACCCCGAAGCAACCCCATCACCATCAGTCCTTCCTGTCCCACTTCCTGCACGGTTCCAACGCGCATAAGGATAAGCCGCACTCCGCGCCCGGTTCGCCGGCACTCACGTCTGCCTCCACCAATTCCGCAGGTGGCACCGCGATGCAGAAGAGCAAGTCCTCGAGCAGCGTGGTCCATCACGGCAGCCGGCTGGTGGCGAAGAAGATCTGGCGCTCCAGGAGCAAGAGCACGTCCAGGGCGTCGCATCAGCCGTCCGTGTGGACTCCTCAGGTGAGTGCTCTGCTTCAGCTTTTCAGTGTATCCCGCGTATATTCGTGCTCGATTTGTGGAATATTGTGGAGGAGTTTCAGTCTCGGCTGCTGAAAGCTCTCGACAGTCCGCTCGCTTCGCACATCAAAATTGCTGATTCCGCACAATATATTGAAAGCCGGCTCTGCTTCATGCTTGATGTGCATGTGTGTGTGTGTGAAATTTTAATATTGTGTAGGAGTTGATGAGGCTTGAATATTGATGGAATTTTAACGCGAAGAGGATCAGGCAAGTCGGACGATTAATGGAGTGCTGTGATTGCCTTATCGAACTAAATTTGGAATTCGTTTCACACACACACACACACACAAACGAGAGATTAAGATAACACGAGAATCTTACCGAAAGAACCGGGACGACTACAGCCCTGAAATCGAGTTCGTTTAACTCTATTAACGCTCTGCACGTCTCCGACTCTGCTCTTTTTCGCACGCGAAGCACACAAAAGCGGTCTCTCTCTCTCTCTCTCTCTCTCTCTCTCTCTCGGTGCACTTGCGGCAAGTGCGGACTCGCGATAATCAGACTTATTAAGCGCGCGCGTAGAGCTTCCTCCGCCACTTCGGAGATAAGGAGAGACCGGGAGAGCAGAAGCGAAATGCGTCTTCTGGAAGTTATATTAGATGCGTCCCGAGGACACACACACTTTCCAACGTGCTACAGTACGCGCATTCTTTGGCGTCTCCGCGAAATTAGCGAAAAGCTCGATAAAAAGGAACAGTGGATGCCGTGAATTTGGCATAGACCCGCATTTTCGTAATGCGCTCGCTGGCGGTGATCTCCACGTTACGCGAGGCAGGAATATCTTTCCGCGGCGTGGATTCCGCGCCGCGCGTACGTGTATTCGGCGGAACTCCGGCCGGTCTCGCGGAAAAAGTCGAGGGGAAAGTCGATGCGTGTCTGGGATCGATCGGACGTGTCGGCCGACGGGAAGGTTATTTACGTTCCGACGGTGTGACTCCAACCTGTTACGCTTCCTCTATAAACATGATAACACGCCACGCGTCTACAAGTGATCTATCTAAAGCGGCCGCCGACAGCCTCTAATGCGGAGAGGATAGCGAAGTCGCCCGATAACTCTCGACTGACAAGTGTCTTTCCTTACTCCCGGCGTTTCTGATATTTATATTTGCATCGTAAACTGCTGCGCAAGGAGCTCCTCTCGACGACGTACCGAAATTTATTAGCGCCGCTCCCATAGTAGTCTGCGACGGGGCAAATTTCGCCGGGCGGTGCGAATTCCACGTCGCGCGTCGGTTTCCCTCGCGTTTGCGGCGAAACTTCACTCGGCCTTGGAATTACTTCGTGCAGAATTTCTCCAGAAATTAAAGAAGTCTATTTTGGAGTATTCTATCTATTTAAGTTCTCAACTTAAGAGAAAGTGAGATACGTATATATATATACCGACGTCTGTGCGCGCGTTTCTGCTAGAGTCCGTTAAGACGCCCAATTTTCAACTGTAATATTCGCCGTGTGTGACACAGAAATGTCGGCGCAAATAGCCCTTTCGCGCGAATACCTCTCGACTTGTTCGCGGAACGTGGCCGTTTCCAGAACTGAGGGCCGCTTCTCTCGGCACGCGGCATGCCCGGTTAATCATCGCGCCCGTTGATCTGACCGCGTATCTCCTTTCTTCCTTCGACACCTCCTTATCCTCGGCGTCTAAGCACGCGAAAGATGCGAAGGGGGAAGACGCAAAAGAAGAAAAAGGGGGTCGACCTTGCGGCAGACGCTCTCGTTAAGCGGTAAGCGCGATAACCAATTTAGGGCCTCGGAATTTCGCTGGCGCCGCCAGAAATAGTCAGCCAACGGCGGTGTGTATAAACTATACTTAACCCCTGCTACTACTACTCGGATATACCAACACCGAAGCTGAAGGCTACTACCACCGTTACTACCTCCGCGTCCATGCTATTCTCACGTGGCGCTCCTCCTCCGTTATTCCGGCGAATAATCCGCCGCGAGTTCGCGGAAAGCGAAAGGAAAGCTCTCTCTCTCTCTCTCTCTCTCTCTCTCTCTCTCTCTCTCTCTCTCTTTCTCTCGTTGTCGCAGCGCCGCGTCGCACAGTGAGGCCAGATGATATTTTTTGTTTCAAAATTCTCTAGAGACCTGAATTTCCAACCGATCATCGACACCACAATGGATGAGGGGTTGATCCTGAATATATTCCAAAGAGATCTGTCTAGCCGAAATTTCGAAAAAATTATTGGTTCAGGGTTCATCGGTTTAGGGTTTGTCTTAAAAGTTTGTAGTTTAAAGTACAGTGTCTTGGGTCTAGCTGTGGCTAGATTGGGTTCTTGGGCTATTTGGGTCTCTTAATACATACGGCTTCATGCATCCACGAGCTAAAAAATTCTCGGATTGATAGATTCCTAGATTGAAAGACTCAAAATCCTTCGGTTTTGTGCTTATCGGGTCTATATTTGTTGTTTTTGTATTTTGGACATATGAGTTTTGGGGTAATGGGTTTCTGGTTCAAGATCGATATATCTCGAGGTGTCCGTTGATTGGTTTCATAGTTTCAATCCGCTGAATACGCTATTAGATAGAAATAAGTGTCGAATAATGAGTATTTCACAAGTTTCTCGCGTTTAACGATAATTTTTCCTCTTTTGGGGCTAGTAATTCGAGAAAACAATTTTCTTTTTTAATTTTGGCAAGACAGATCTCTTCGGAATTTATCTAGGATCAACCTCATCCATCGGTGTCGATGATCGGTTGGAAATTCAGATCTCTAGAGAATTTTGAGAACCAAAGAATGTCATCTGGCTCCATTGTGCGTCGGTCGGAAAACACCGGCGTTTGCATCTCGTGAAATTACGTTGCTCGTCTAGCCTCAGCTCGTCTAGCCTTAAAATTAATTATCTCCTCGATAAAGGAGAAGAAATGTCGCGCTGGTCGTCCGGCAGCTTTTAGATCTCCCATGGAAATGAACATTGATTTACGTTTCGCACAGAACGTCCCGCGAGAGACGTTCCTCTTCGCGGTGAATAACAGACGATACTTATCGTCCGGTCTCACTCCTCCGAAACTATTTATGTCTCGACATTTTTCTCACGGGGAGAAAATCGCTTCGCTCGCGAGTGAGGAAACGCCGGACACCGTCCAACTAGCGAGTTCCTCTCGCGTAGCACTGATCTCGCTGATTACATTGCTTCGAGATTTACAATTTCGTCGACATTAAAGTGGTCTCGCACGTGCGAGCGAGCATTGCGTTATCTACTTGTCGCAGTCGAGCAAGATAGTGCGAGCGAAAGAAATAGTTTGACCAGGCGAGGGACGATAGCACGAAGCGAAATTGCCGTCGTTCCACGGGCCGTTCGCATTTGCATGGGAGACGAGGTCCGTCCTATATATTCTGTCTTTATCTAGAAAATGCGGTTTCGTTCAACCTTTCCTTGAACATCACCCACTACCCCCGTTTAATCTTCGTGCACCCACCGCGGGGTACGTCTCTTACGTACGTCCGCAGACTACGGAATATGAAACAGGAGTAACAAAATTCGCCTGGGCCGGTTAACAGGCAAGTCACGAACTTTTTCGACCCTAACTCCTTCTTCCCTTCCCCCGCATTATCGCGTTAATTTCCAAATACCCGTCGCGTCGAAGGCCGCGGCAGCGTCTCGTCGGGAAATAAGGTAACTGCACAGAATAATAAGCGCACGTCACTTTGAGCAGCCCTTCTCAGCAGCAGACGACATCAACGGATGAGAATAATGTTTTTTTGATACGTCTCCTTCCTTGCAATGTTAAATATTAAAAGTTGCAACTTTGTACATAAGGTAAACGACCCAGTATCCGACCACTTTGAAAAAAGATATTTACTATTTATTTTAACAATAATGAATGAAAGTGATAATTGTTGTGTACAAAAAACCCCAATATTTGACGATTAGTTGGGAAAAAATATACCAATTTGACACTTTTGTGTTAAAATAAAAATCAATTAAATAAATATGCATCTGTAGTTTGGCAAAATAATGGTCAATCGTTAATAAATTCATTAAAACATAGCATCTATATTTATATTATTTCCCGTTGACACATATTTCATTAACAGTAGATGTATACATTGGTTTAAATCATTTTTCTCTACTTGAGGAAATCTTCGGGAAAGTTTTCGAATAAATGCAAATATTTATATCAAAATTATTCTTAATATTATATATTGTATTTTTTGTGACGACTTACGCGCTTAAACGTCCGGTTACTGGGACATTTACCGTATATCGTGAAGTTTTAGAAACTCTTTTGCTAACAGTTGTCTCTTTCACAAGAGGAAACATAGACATGGTATATCTAGGCTGCGCGTTCTCCCAAATTTCAAGAGTGGGGGTATAACTCTCGGAGAAAAGAAAACACTCTGTTTTTACTGTTCGTTCTCTCTCGCACATTGCTGGTGGAAGGGGAATAGGGGAATAGGTGGTTACTGTACAGCAACTGCCTCCCCTATACCCCTTCTATCGGGACTGTGCGAGAGAGAACGAACAGTAAAAACAGGGTGCTTCCTTCTCTCCGAGAGTTGCATCCCCACTCCTCGAACACGCAGTCTAGATATATTATGTCTATGAGAGGAAGTATCAGAGAATAGACGAGGCTTTAATGCTTATATATTGTGGGAAAGAAAATTAATCCGTTGTTTTTAGATATAATTCAATTATTATGTCAATTATCATTTTAATTGTTATTTTTAAATACCATTTTGAGAAAAAAAATCTTCTATTACCAGCTTCCTCAGGATGAACGTTGACTCTGCTGTTATTAAAGGAGCAGTAAAATTAAGAGGCAATTTTTTAATGCAATTGAATTATTATTCCAATTATTAGTTTTAAGCATAACTTTGCGAGGAGTAATTCTCTCTAATACCAGCTTTCTCAGAACGAACGTTGACTCTTCTATTATTAAAGGGGTAGTGAAATTAAAAGGCAATTTCCAGTTTCCACTGGAGTGTTTGCGACAAAATTACCACTTCGCCATTGTGATGTTATATTTAGCAGCGTGATAGTTAGGAAATCAAAATCTATTCTTATCTGTCTGAAATACACTTTAATTATGCCATTTTGTTTTGTTGAATTTTCGTGCCACGGTGAAAAGACTGTGAAAAATCTGGATTAAAAGCGGAACAATTAATTGCGAAATATTCTCTCGGACTTTCCCGTCCGCGTTGTCTCATTGCTGCGTATTTATTTCCGTTTACCGCAGGTGGAACGATGTGTACTACGTCGCACGTTTCGAAGTACGTTTCGAGACTCGCACGAAAAGGGAGAAAGGAACGAGCGTTAGCAAAATTGTTTGTTGCTGAATAACAGTGACCGTTATATATTCGTCCTTTTCTTCGCTGACAAATTGGAAGAGAGCAACGTTGTAGACAACAGGGCAATGCATTTGCTAGCGGTTTGAATAAGCGAAGAACGATAGGCGAATGTCGTTCCCGTTCCTATCGGGGGCTTTCAAAAGCGCAAAACTTCGCGGATTGCACGCGCCGTTGCAGCGGGAGTGATTTTTACGTTTCGTCAACGTTCTCCCCAACGTCGCTTTGTTTTTTCGTCCGGACGTAACGTAATTTGACGCCTCTCTGGCCCGCGACTGATAAGTTCATGAATGCGAGGGTAGCCGTTGAATGGCAGGGTAGCTTCCCCGCAATTTTTATCGAATAGAAGCTGATAAGATTGACATTTGCCGGGGTTTCCCTCCACAAGAAAGCGGAAGCAGCGAGAAATGACTTTGATAGAAGAAAATAGATCAAGCGTACAGATAATCCAGGGGTTCGTTAAGGATGTGCACGAAATATTGCAATTAATAACCTACGATGTTATAATACATCCTCGCTAGAGTTCCGCGACCAAAGTGTGAAACATAAACGCAAACATAATTCCCAAACGGTTACAGAGTAAACTCTGCGAAATAAATTGGAGGACATGTTGACAAGTAATAAATGATTCGAAATGTACATGTTTGAAATTTTATTTGCTTCCTGTTGCTTATTTGCTTTTTCATCATTTCTCTGGATCATCCATCCGTTTCGTAATTTTTGCCATCGTGCATTTACCATCACATGGATTGTTAATGTGTGCGAAAAGGTAATTTTCAATTTTCGCTCGGGAAACTCTCCAGATTTCAGCGACGCGAAATTCGAACGCGTTTCGAGAAGAGAAACTCTCGCTGTAAATACAGTGAGAGGGCAGAATTCAATTCAACCGATATTCTCGATTCTCGCGACGATTATGCGCGCGAATATCGTGCGCTGATCGTCGTATCAATCGAGCCGACGACGGTTCATTGTTTCCAAATTTCCGCGTATAATTTAAATAAACTTGGCTCGATGGCACGGCGCGTTCTCGGAAGCGTGCGCGCGCGCGCGCGCGAGCAAAATATTCAGACAATTTCATCTCTAGCAAGATTAACTCGATCTCCTCCGCGAAGTGGAAGGAAAATGTATGAGTTATGGCCTGTCATATCGCGTCTTCTCGTTGCATCTCGCATTTCCTCAATATTACACCTCGTCCTGTTTATCTCTCGGGTAAGCCGTGGCTTTTCGTTGATCCATCGCGAAAGTTTCGTCAGAGTCTCGTGAAACGTAGTTAATGAGCCAGGATACGTGTCGCAGGACCGTCGTCCTCGCACTTGCCGTAAACTTGCCGAATTTCTATCGCACTCCCACGTTACAAACATTATTATACACACGCTTCGCGAGTCGCGGCAATTCGCAGACAACGCGCGGCTCCGCGCTGCGCGCTGCGCGTTGCGTGAATTCATAAATTTTAATTTCGCGAATTTACATGGCAAGATTAATTTGAATAATCGTTGCATGATAACGAGGCTCGCGTCTGGAATTATTAATCCCGTTCGGAAATCCCGTCGCGTACGACGAGAGATATTCCGCGCCGCGCTTAATACCTCGCACGCTCCGCGATGTCCGCGAGACGGAGACTCGTGACGCTTTCGCAGGATCCGTCAGCGAGGATCTGTCAAGTGCAAGCGCGACTTGCGACTGATCCGCCGGTTGCTGCCCGGAAAGTGATATCAACCATTCCCCCTTGTCGCAGGGAAAATGCACCTGGGCAGGCACGACGAATCGGCGCGTGACCCTGCAGGACACGCAGCTGCGGACGCTGTCCGAGATCGAGAGGAAGGTCCTCTGCAAGGTGGCGGTTGCGAAGCTTCAAGCTCTCAACCTGGGTGTGCACATCAGGCCGCCGAGCGGTGAGTCTTATTTATGCCAAAGTTGAGGAATGTTGAGCGGGAGAAAAAAGACCTCGGGCGTTCTCGCCAAGAGAGAAGAAGCAGAAGCGTGTTTGATTTATCATGCCGCTGCAAGCGTAGAATCTCGATTTGCAACGTCCCGAGTTCACCGAGCGGCCAATGCGTGCAAGATACCGCTTACTCGAGTGCGCCGCGCGTAATCGTAATCGGAATTAAAGTCTGTTTTGCCGATAAGGCACTCATAATGTCATTTCAATTTACGTATAATGTCACGTCGCAGTCGCGAGCCGTCGAGTTTTCTCGCGTGTTTTTCTCGGCTCGCTCGTCAAAGCGACATTCGCGGTCTCGCCGAGCGCGCCTCGCCGAGCGGTTCCGCGTTCCGTTCCTCGCGAGTCACGAGGAGTCCCACCACCGCGCGTAATTCCATTAAGGCCATCTGCGTGTTAAGGCCACGCTACGTTAATCCGCGGGGTGTTATCGCGAGCGAGGAGCGAAGGCGAGGAAAGGAGGCAACAACGACGTCCGCCGAAATTCCAGGCGTATTTAACGCGCAGCCCCCGCTAGTTTCTATTTAACAAACACCGACGAGGCTCATGAATTTCTCGGATGCTTTTATACGCTCCGCAGAATCGAATCCTTATGCCCTCTCTCATCAACGCTCCCCGGCGCGCGAGCGAGGCGCTTCCTTCTTCAGCGAATTAACCCAGCCGTCGGTATCGCAGAAATTCCTTCTCGCCGCTCTCCGCTGTGCTCCTCTCTTCCTCCCCCCTGCCCCGCAGTGCGCACATTTTTACGATGAAAGCGATCCTCTTCGACATCGCGGAGTCGTCCTGCGTAAAATGGATCGCGCGCGACTCTTGGAGGATAAATCGAAGATCCGAGAGTCTCGTCTCGAGACGCACGAATAAGGAATCCCTTTGTCAAGCGCAGTCTTTTGTCAAGTACTTTTTTACTTTACTTTACTTTAAAGGCCTTTGCCTAACGTAAAAAAGCGTTAACCGTAATCGTAATTTTAGTAGTTTCCAACACATACAGAGTAACGCAGTCGTAACTTTAAGACAGAATTTCACTTGCGTTACTCTATTATAATAAAGTATCTGTTGGACATTACTAAAATTACGATTACGGTTAACGCTGTTTTAGCGTGCAAAGGCCCTTAGTGTATAAATTTAAATGTAGTGACCATTTTTCTGAGAAATTCAAATTGTGACTCGCGCTTGAAATTAGCCGGATAACTCGATGCCGGGTTCCGGTTTCCTCGGTGCCGGCCGGATTTTCGCCGGTTTCTCCTCCATTCCTCGATTCCTCGATGGTGTCGATAAGCGCGTGACCCTGAAACGACCTCCCGTCACCTTCGCACCTGGCGGGAAGGATAATAGGGAAGAAATAAAATGTTGGAATTTCGTTGGTATCTCTCTCAAAGAGATCTCACTTTGGCACCTATCGCGAAGACATGGCGCCGTTCGGCTGTCTCGTCTGAAGACTCCAGATGATTGACGTGTTTATGGTTACGAGAGCGTCCGCTCTCTCGCCTTTACGACGGAGCGTCCACTCGAATTTCGATGTCTCTCCTCTCTCGCGGAGCTCTCTCGTCCGTCTGCGATAGCACGCGCGCGAGCGAGAGGGCCGGAATGCGATGAACGCGCGCGGACGCCGCGCTCGTTAAAGCGGCATTGTATTGCAAATAGAATGTGTCATAGAATGACTATGAATAACTGCGTTATAATAGAAACGGCGACGCGGGCGGCGTGCGCCCGCGGTGGAGAGAGAGAGAGAGAGAGAGAGAGAGAGAGAGAGAGAGAGAAAGAGAGATAGAGAGTGCAAGGAACTCCCATCGCAATAAGTCTCGCGTTGATTAACTCCGGCACTCTCGCTTTTCATCCGGAATCGCAGCTCAGCCGCAGGGAACGCATGGAAGGAGAGCGCAGAAGCGCGACGCGCAGGAATGGCCCGGTTAGAATTCGAGATTTATTCAGCAGCGCTAATAAGAGAGGCGAGCGCTGCTTCTGACGTGCGCGCGGTGAATAATAAAAGCAGACCGCGACGAAGTCTCCCTTTAGAACGTAATAAGTTTGCACGATCCGCCCTCATTATTTGTTTCGCGCGTTAAAACGAGCGCTCGTTGGCTCTTATCAGCGCTCTTTTAAATTTCGCCCTCCTTCCCTTCCAGAACCTGCTTTAATTCCATTGAAAATTGCCGGGAAAGAAAATCCGAGTACGAGGAAACGGAGGTAACCTGTAACCGGTTGTTCGAAATTCTTCGTACTTTTGAACACGCAAACAATTCCGCTCGCGCAGCGCAGCGAGTGAAATTTCCTCGTCGCGGAAATCATCGGAATCCGGAAAAATGACGAGTTATCGAGCTCGAATGCGGATATTTTATTGCGCCGCCGGGACAAAAATGTTATTGTCGTTACGTGAGAGGCGCGACATAGATGAAAAGTGGAATTCATGAATCTCCCGATCCCGCGTGGCTCGCGCGCGCTCGGTCGGAGCCGACTTTTGCGAGGAACTCCGCTCGGAGCTCTGGATGTAATTAACGCGGCGTTATTTCCGTCCTGCGAGACGTAGAAAAACGTGAAACGAAGATAATTCGTACGGGAAACGGAGGTAATTGTCCAACCCCATCTCGGGGAGAATCGTGTCCCCTTTATTCTCGCCCGAGACGAGGGTTTATAAAATTATCAACCGGCAGCTTCGACACGCCGCGGATTTACTTCGGAACGGTCGTTCGACATGAATTATTCCGGCACGGCAGACAAACGCGGATACCGTTTGAATTCTACGAGCGGCCTGCATAATGTAACGCTAAAAACTCAAGAAACGAGCAGAATGTGTCTCGGAATACATTTGTCAGGTCATTTCTCTCCGCGTTTCTTTCCAGAATCGGTCGGCAGCGGGTCGGCGACCACGAAGCCGAAGAGACGGGCGTATCTGCTGAAGAGGAAAGCACTCACAACCGGCTTCTTCGACAATAAAGGGAAGGACGAGAAGGAAAAGGGTGAGCACAAAGCACGATTACCGGTTAATCACGCGGCCGTCGTCGCCGGCTGCTTTTTCCTCCACGCTGAGGGATAATCGAGCGCTTGGAATATATAAACTTTCGCAGTGACGTTATTTATACCGCGGCCTACATTTATCTTCCGCAATTAGAGCCCTCTTTCTCTCTCTCTCTCTCTCTCTCTCTCTCTCTTTCTCTCTCTGTCTTTCTTTCTCTCTATCTCTTCGCGAACGAATGAGACGCCCCCGTTCGATATTGAATTGCGATTTTCGCGACGAAAGGAGTGCGGGGGGGGGGGCCGTTCAGATCTCGCGCGGGTTCAACGTAACGGTTAACGTCCACTAAACGAGGCCCTCTAATTATTTCGAAGAGTCCTTCTGCTCTTGCAAGGTAGAAACTCGCGATAACGAGTGGTCTAAAAATGACTTTGTCAACGTCGACGGGAATGAAATCGGCACGGTGCGTCGGTAAAAGTAATCAAGGATGGACATATAACAAAACTTCGCTCGCACGCATTACGTCGCAAAGGGTAAGATCTGTCTTTCTCGAAGAGTACGCATGCGATTGATACATGCTCGCAACGTGAGGGTTATACTTCTACGCTCGCCGATTCCACAGAGCCCCCGAAAAATCACCCCAAAAGAAAGTAATTTTAGAACGGAATCATCTAAATTTTAGAGAATTTTATTCTTATATATGGCCTCAAGAGGATTCCTCTAAGATTAAGAGGAAAATATTATAAATACATTATTCTTAAAGTTAGAGCAATTATATATGTATAATGCAAATCTTATTGATTTTAATATAAATTTCCTCTTATATACAGATTGTTTAATCCTTTTTTAAGAGAATTATTATTTATTCTCACTTTACTTCTCTTTATTCTTACTTTAATTTATTCTTACTTATTCTTACTATTTATTCTTACTTTATTCTTGCTGGTTATACTAATTAATTTGCAAAAAATTATTATAATGTATAACGAAAAGTAATATACAGGGTGTCCGAAAAATCGCCTACTCCACTTCAGGAGGTGATTTGGGATCCAAAAACAAGCAAAAAAGTTCATACAAACATAGGTCCGGAAATAAGCCGTTTCCGAGTTATAGCCACTTTTATGTTCAAAAATCGTAATTTAGAATCCGCTTGGCATCCCTCTTTCTTAATTATTTCTTAAATTAAAAATTTTTATTTTTTAATTTTTATTTGTTATTTTTATTTAATTTTTAATTTTCAATTTTTATTTTTAAATTTTTATTTTTAATTTTTCTTTAATTATAATTTTTTTAGTTCTTTTCAATTTTTCAATATTTGTAAATACGATTACATTATTTTTAAAAGAAATCAGCTGGTTTCACGACTACTTAAAGTCAGTTGTCTTCGCGACTATCCAAATCAGTTGGTTAGGTTAGGTTGCCTGGCCCCCAAGATCACCAGACATGAATCCACTTGATTTTTATCTATGGGGTCATGTAAAATCAATTGTTTACAAAAATGCACCCAATAATATTGCTGATTTAAGACAAAGAATAATTCATGGATTTGAAGAAATAAGGAGGGATCCAAATTTTCAAAGTGTTCGGAATTCCTTTGATAGAAGAATAAGGGCTTGCATTCGTGCTGAAGGTGGTCATTTTGAACACCTTATTTAATTCGATTTAAATATCTGTTCATGTTTACTTTAAAAATAATATAATCGTATTTACAAATATTGAAAAATTGAAAAAAACTAAAAAAATTATAATTAAAGAAAAATTAAAAATAAAAATTTAAAAATAAAAATTGAAAATTAAAAATTAAATAAAAATAACAAATAAAAATTAAAAAATAAAAATTTTTAATTTAAGAAATAATTAAGAAAGAGGGATGTCAAGCAGATTCTAAATTACGATTTTTGAACATAAAAGTGGCTATAACTCGGAAACGGCTCATTTCCGGACCTATGTTTGTATGAACTTTTTTGCTTGTTTTTGGGTCCCGAATCACCTCCCGAAGTGGAGTAGGCGATTTTTCGGACACCTTGTATATATAGATATACTACTGGCTCCAGTTCTACGATAAATAGTTCTTCAATAAATAATACGAATGACATAAGATCATTATAACGAAGAAATTTTCAATCAATTTTGTTATGGATTTCATAGCTACAAAGATGTTCATCACAACCAATTGTGTGAAACATAGTTAAAAGAAAGAATATATTATTCAAACTTCTTGCAATATATTATAAACTGGTATTTGACCAAATATAGGTAAATTATCTTCGTTATATCTTACAGCAGCACACATACCTTTTATAAAAAGCTAAACTTTCATAAAAGTTCTAAACATTCTGAGCATATGATTATTTTTCGTTCATGTCTGGAAGTAGAGGGTAGAGCATGACTGAACAAAAGAAGCCGACTTTCAAATCAACACATTCCTCTTCATATTAGAGGAAAATTAATTGATATAAGAAGAAATCTTGAAATATATATAAGAGGAAGGACAGAATAATATCTGATAAATTTCAGATAAATGATTCATTTTAATCGCTTTACCGGAAGAGGAATCCTTTTCCCGTAAACGGCTTCGCTTAGAATATGAGACTACGGGAAAAATCACTTTACAAATAGAATACTTTTTTTTTGGGCGTAGAGACGCAGAATGTTACGCGAACTTGAAGCGTTACCTGGGGGCTGCCGGGGGCGGAGGGGAAACTCGGAGTCGCGGAAATTCGCGCGGGCGAATCAATAATTAAGTACGTGCGCAGTTTAATGTGCAGAGAGCCGTATTTAACGGGCGAGTTTATGGCGCAATTATTTGTTTGGAGAATAACTAGTCCAGTTATTTTCAGACAGACGCAATAGCGCTTTGCCGCGAACTTCGGGTGAGTGTTCTATCACCGATACGCCTTTACGAAATTCCTGCGCGTATGTGCGTAAATGTGCGTGATACTTATATATATATATATATATATATATATAAATTTTCACACACCCACCGAAGCCGCAACAAAAATAAATATTATTCTTGGGACAAATTTCTAGTCTATTTTCGTCGGCCGTCCTATCCCTGTTGTTGCGAATTCCTCGCGCTCGATCATTGTGAAAAGTACGCCAAATAAGCCGTCGCTGAACGAGCTTCACGTGCATGCGACAATCAGGCGGACGGGGACATTCGTCGCGCGGAACAAAGAACGACGATCACTTGGATATCCTTGCTCAATTTGGAATCAAAGATTGGAAATTATGTTATCTTCGTAAAGTGGGCACTGATCGCGCGTCGTTGGGCTGACGCGCAACTTCCGTGACGTGGCAACGCAAATTCGGCGCTTTCGCGGCCAGCTCGGCGCAATTCTCTTTCTTTCTTCCTTTTTTTTCCCAGCGCGTCGAGTGCTCTCACGCGAGTGGAATCGTCGCGAGCAAACTGCAATTTCCTGCGACAAGCCTCTCTCGAAAATGCGCCCACTGCATGTCCCGGCTTGTTCCACACTTCGTGACGGTATTCACCGCGCACTCTCATTCCGTCTCATTTCGCCGAACTAATTATGCGCCTCATGGCCGCGCGATTGCATTGTCGACGCTGTTTGCGCTGCACTCTCGCAGTCGCCTGCGACAGTTCAAATAAGAATCCTGGCGCGGGTGTATCGTGTAACGGGCGAATCGGCTCGCGATTACGGTAGGCGAGCGCGCGGAACGATTTCCCGTGTCGAGTTTCAGCCAACGCGCGACTTATGCCTCCGTGTTACTCAGCCATGATTTACAGATGCAAATTACCGCAAATACATTTTATTGCAAATACAAATACGATAGTACAACCGCGCGGGAGTACAATGCGCACGACACTCTCGAGAAAGCATCGCGGAACTTTAGCCGAACACGCAGTAACTATTCTCGGCTCTACTTAAGAGCGATCGTCGCAAAAGACGATAAAAAAAGTAAAGATAGATATACCGAGTAGCGCAAAGGAACGAAGAAAGTTAGGTAAAAATAGCAAATGGCGATAATTGGCCGATGCGTTTCCCATCGTCAAGAAACGGTGATGTCCCATGCTCTCTCTCTCTCTCTCTCTCTCTCTCTCTCTCTCTCTCTCTCCCTCCCGATTTGAATTTCTGCGAGTGATATCCGCACGCGAAAAGTAAAGTAATAACTAAATCGAAAGTCGAATTTGAGCTCCTTTTTGCTCATGAAAAGTGAATTCTCCACTTTGGGTTGTTTTATGAATATTACCTAAAAAAAGTAATTTCAGAGCAAGTGGAATCATTTAAATTTTAGAGAATTTTATTCTTATATATAGTCTCAAGAGGAGACTCTAAGATTAAGAGGAAAATATTATAAACACATTATTCTTAAAGTTAGAGGGATTATATATATATATATATATATATATATATAGATGTACTTCTGGCTCCAGTTCTACAATAAGTAAGCACGATTGAAATAAGATCATCATAACAAATAAATTTCCAATCAGTTTTGTTGTGGACTTCGTACCTACAAAGATGTTTGTCATAACCAATTGTATGAAACCATAGTTAAAAGAAAGAATATATTATTCAACTTCTTGCAAGAGATTATAAACTGTATTTGACCAAATGTGGGTAAATTATCTTTGTTATATGTTGCAGTAACATACATACCTTTTCAAAAAGTCTAACCAAATATTCCGACCCATGAGCATATGGTTTTTTTTTTCCGTTCATGTCTGGAGGTAGAGCATGACTGAATAAAAGAAGCCGACATTCAAATCAGCATATTCCTCTTCATATAAGAAGAAAATTAATTGATATAAGAGGAAATCCTCTTGAAATAAGAAGAAAACAGTCGGAATAATATCTAATAAATTTTATATGAATACCTCACTTTAATCGCTTTATCGAAAAGACTTCGCTCAGAATATGAGACTATGGGAAAAATCATTTTACAAATAGAATACTTTTTTTCGGTCATATAATTCGGAATTGAAGAGTGAATCAAGTACTTCATAGAGACAAGTTCACCACTCCGTGGTAGATCGAA